GGAAAGGGACACTTTCATCTCTGATTTAGTAGCACTTACTAAGTACACTTTTGTTCTGTCATCTAATAACATCTATACTCAGTGATAGTGATTTTAAATAATTAACTTATGAAATTATATACCTACATAAATATCGATGATAGAAAGTTAGTACAGTTTTAAAGCTTTTAAAATTTGAATGAGTTGCTTTTTTTCCATATATGACAGTATTTTTATCTATACTTCCTTTGTTTAAAATAATACAAACACATGTTGTTATGTCCCATTCATAATGCTATGCAAGGACACTAGGTGATTATAAGTACACACATATTAGATATGCAAGATGCAACAGTATTGTGAACTTTAGATTGAAGAGTTAACAGGCTTTTGAAAATCTTAAAAAATCAACATCTAAAAAATAGTTAAAATGTTTTGTCACTTGTGATTTTTACTATGTATGATATTGGGAACTAGATAGTATGACATCTAAAAAAGTTCAGGTTAGTTGAAAGTGTTATCAGTGAGTCATAAATGTCACTTGTTAGGCTTGTGATAAAAAATATGCTGGAAAATTTTACAACAAAAGTTCAGTGATTTTACCGTATCCAATGTGGACATGTGAGCGCCACTGTTTATAATGTCTCTGCAGTGTGATTTTCATGAATAAGAGTAATTTACAGTGACTGGGATATTCAACCTGAACAACAACCTCAAAATGCTGGGCAACATTTTACTTTTTGTTAAACCTATAAGCTATGGAGTCATAATGATTCTTCATGAAAGTTATGATGTATAACAGCTGGTTCATCCAGTTTTGAAATGTCTTGATGTGGTTCATATCCTATCATACACAAGGATTTCATTTTTTTTATTGGTTTTCAATGCACTCTACTACTGAAATTGTTCCAGTGTCATTGGTATAGATGCAACAACTATTCAAGTCAAGGGTAGCACTACACCATATTTAGGATATTATACTTTTAGTAAGGCTGGATGTGTAATTATGTACCTAACCTAAAGCTATGTTATAATATCTGCATGAGTGGAACTTTAATCATTATTATCCAATTAGGTTTTTACTTTTTTTTCAAAATCAGCAATGATGTTAAAGTAAGTGGTGTATCTATTCTTGCACATTTGTTCTGTCTTCTTCTTTTGCAAAGTCTAAAGGAATATGTACTTTATTGTTCTGCTTGTTGTGTGTGTGTGTGTTATCTGTTTGTCTGGTCTTGTTTTAATAATTCAACTTTTCTACACTTTGCACTTAAGTTGCTGAGTTGGTTGTGGTAATAGAAACTGTGGATTCATCCTTTCTGCTTTTATTAAGGTAGCCATTTATATGAAATATCAATTCTATAATTAAGTGTTGTTTTCTATACTAAGATTTTGTTGTTGATTTTTTTACAGGATTTTTCCCAAGCAGTTCTCAAATCTGTCCAGCTTTTCTGAGACACAAGATGACAGTTATTTCTCCACAAATATTAAAACAGTACTCCATCCCATTTAATAAGGTGAGCATATTATGATTAATATATATCTATAGAACCTTTTTTCTTGTATGTTATCTTGTTTCGTTGGGTAGAAATGGTAGTCTCAGTAACAAGTAGAGGGTTTACTCTTTATGATCCCTGTTTTCTGAAGTGTTGATTGGATTCTGCCATCTTTCATATATTGTTTTTATGCTGTATTAATGCTGTATTAAGTATGTTAGTGTTTAAATTTAAAGCATGGAATGTATATTATTACAGTTCTACAGAGGAAAATATGGTTGAGTTTTACAAAGATATTTTTGCTGTTTTTAATAGTGTTATATAGAATGATTAAAAAATATATTTATGTGAGAATTGTTAGCTTCGCTTACTCAAGAGAAATGACATTTCTTCTATGACATTTTGAGAAATCAGTTCTTGTAATCCATTCTTCATATTATTGTTCACTGTGCTTATATTGTACACTTTTCCCCTATTTTTGCCACTGTATCTGTTCTCCTGCTGTCTGTCATATTACAGTAGTATGTGTTATTTTACTTTAGAACTTTGGTTAGTAGTCAGCAATATCATTACTAAAACATAGCTTACCTCTGTTAACAAAATGTGTCAAATCTTTGAGTCACTAAATTGAAAATTATTTACTTTAAAAACCATTTAAACTTAATTCAATGATTGACATGCAATTGATAAATTTGTTAGAAGATTAATTTTCAAAGCTAATAGGAGAAACTGGGAGGATACTATAAATGCATTGTAAAATATTTGATGTAACCAATAATTGCTTATATCGTATTGGGAAAGTATGTGTTTTCACTACTTGATCAAATCTTGATTTCATATAAAGATAAGTGATTGAGATCTGATTATGTGATTCAATATTTGTACTCATTCGTAGGTAGTAGTCACAGAATTAACCTTTGATATTAAAGGCTTTAATTCAAGAACATTAACAACATGTTTTTCCTGGTTATCCATTCATGGATCATTAAGTACTATATAGACTTGAATGTTTGTTATTTTCTTTAATTTCCGTCACAACTTTATGCATGGATTTTGATGATCAGTTAAATTTCATCCTTGTGTCTATGTGAATTCAATGGTCCTGACTTTTTTTTGAACTAACAAAATATGTTAATATAAATTAATATGTAGGAATTCAGTAGTGGGAGGTTCAGTGGTTTTGCAGTTTGATATATATTTTGATTTTAATTTAACACTAATTTTATACATGTTTTTAGATAACACAAGAACCTGGAGAGTTCATGATTACATTTCCATATGGTTATCATGCTGGCTTCAACCATGGATTCAACTGTGCTGAATCAACTAACTTTGCATTGTTAAGATGGATAGAGTATGGAAAAAGGGCATTACAGGTTGGCTATTTTGTTTCTTTATTCAGGTGTAACTGTGTTGGCTACATATATTGTAAATTAAAAAGCTGTGGATTTTTTTTTAATCGTCAACCTAAATTATTTTGAAAATTTTTTCAGAACAGTATTTTGGTTCAAATATGATACTGTAACAACTTGTTCCATCCTTTGCATAATTTTGCATACAATTTACTTTTGCAAAATACCTACATATCTTAATGTGACTATGGTCACATGTTGCCATGCATCTTCATTATGGTGGCTTTTTTGGATGTGCTAATGTTAAAGAGGGGGGACATTGTTTTGCTCTCTGTACTTTCTGTACTTGTGATGATTCATGATCTGAAATTTTCTTGTTGGATTCTTTAGAGGAGCTTATTCCTTTTACAGGTGATAATATGGGACTGAAATCAGTTCTATTCCCATGTACCAATTGAAAAATCAGGTTAATAGAGCTTACAGTTAACCATGATTTTTTTTCCCTTCCTCCTCCAAGTTTTCTACTGTAGTTGGTTTTCCATAGGCACTTGGCTGATTCTAGTGATTTTCTTAGTTTTTGGTGGCATGCCTCTCATTTCATCTGTCCACATCTTGTTGCAGATTAGGCAAATATTCATCTTTCTAGACAGAATCTTTCTGACTTGATTCAGAAGATTAAGCAGGTTCCAATTTCTTTATCGTGATAATTGTTTGTACTCCTGACTGTAACCGTTCTGAGTTACACACTTCCAATGTTCTAGATATTATTTTCTCTTCTGATGTATTTGGTTGTCAAGAAATTAATGTTGCTTTTTTTAGGTGAAAAACCCAAACATTTTATATATCAAAACAAAATATTTATTAAATGAAATAGT